GAAAGAAAGACAAGAATTACCACTAGACAAACACCACAGTCATAATTGTTTCAAGCAATAACCATCAATGGATGATAAAACTAGTGGACAAGAGTATGAAAACCACAGCACTTACATACTCTCACAGTATCTTACTATAAGGTAGTTATTCAGTATAAAGGGAAAAATATGGTAACTTACAGTGAAGAAATCTGGTTGACCCCACCTTAGCCATGTGACCAAACTCAGCATCCCCAGTAACAAGCCATACCGACATCAGGAGTCTCCTGACAGGACGCACCGAGGAGGGCACAACATCACTTCTGTGGTATTCTTGCCAAAGAGGCATTACCCGGATTTAATTGTGAAGAAAAATAAGAAAAAAAATACAAATTGAGGTGCATTTAAAACAAATGTCCAGTGCTCTGTCGAAGTCACAAATGACAAAGACAAAATGAGGAAATGTCCCAAATTAAAGGACACTAAGACATGGCAACTTAATGCAATGTGGGATCTTGCTTCCCCCTAAAAAAAAAACACTAATGGGGGGCGCCTGGGTGGTTCAGTGGGTTAAAGCCTCTGCCTTCAGCTCAGGTTGTGATCCCGGGGTCCTGGGATCGAGCCGCGCATCAGGCTCTCTGCTCAGCAGGGAGCCTTCTTCCTCCTCTCTCTCTGCTTGCCTCTCTGCCTACCTGCGATCTCTGTCAGATAAGTAAATAAAATCTTAAAAAAAAAAAAACAAACACTAATGGGATAATTAATAAAACTTGAATGAGGGGCGCCTGGCTGCCTCAGTGGGTTAAGCCTCTGCCTTTAGCTCAGGTCATGATCTCAGGGTCCTGGGATCGAGTCCTACATCGGGCTCTCTGCTCAGCAGGGATCCTGCTTCCCCCTCTTTCTGCCTGCCTCTCTGCCTACTTGTGATATCTCTCTCTCTCTCTCTGTGTCAAATTAATAAATAAAATCTTTAAAAAAAACTTAAATGAGGTTTGTAGATTATCAAAGTTAATTTTCTGGATTTTATCATTGTATTATGGTCAAAGGTAACATTTGGGAAGCTGAATGAAGGGTATATGGGAACCCTTTGGATTACTTTTGACACTTTTTTTGTGAATCTGAAATTATAATTATTTTTATAAATTTTTAAAATATTTTATTTATTTGACAGATGGAGATCACAAGTAGGCAGAGAGGCAGGCAGAGAGAGAGGAGGAAGCAGGCTCCCTGCTGAGCAGAGAGCCCGATGCGCGGCTCGATCCCAGGACCCCGGGATCATGACCTGAGCTGAAGGCAGAGGCTTTAACCCACTGAGCCACCCAGGCGCCCCTATTTCATAATTATTTTTAAAGGTGAAGTTTAATGTAGTGCAAAAGAACTAAGATGAACACTTCTGTTATTAAAATCCAGCATGCTTGGGGTGCCTGGGTGGCTCAATCAGTTAAGTGTCTGACTCTTGATTTCTGCTCAGGTCATGATCTCAGGGCGGCTGGGATCCAGCCCTCTGCCAGTCTTGGTGCTCGGCACTGAATCTGCTCGTCCCCCTCCCTCTGCTCCTCATCGTGCTTGCACACACACTCTCTGCATAGCTCTAAAATAAATAAATAAGATAGTTAAAAAATAATCCAGCATACTTGTCAAAAATAAATGACGAAGCTTGAGCAGTAGGCAGGGTCAAATCATGTCAGGACTCCATAGCCATGGTAAGGGATTTAGGACTTTAACCTTCAGAGCAATGAGAAATGACTGGAGGGTTTTAAGAAGTGGTTGGGAGTGGGTCAGTTTATCAGTGAGGGTCCCAGTGGGAAGCAGATGGCCCACCAGAAATATGATAATTTGAGGCAGATTTATTTATAGGAGACTTATTAAAAGTATGGGTATAGGGAACCATCCAATTAAGGCCAAGAGGTGCGTGGGTAGAGCAAGAAAAGGGAACTCAGGCTGACAACGAGTGGTTAGTCAAAGAGGGTAAAATCATGGAAATAAGAGAATAAAGGAGGGAGGTAATTAACAATGTCAACGAATGAGATTAGAGCTGAAAAATGGTCTTTGGGTATAGTCACGTGGTCAATCTTTGACTTTTGTGAGAATGGTCTCAATGAAACAGTAATGGAGAGGAGCCCACCAGAGTGAGAGATAATGACAAAACAGAGAAAACCCTTTTGATATGTTTGGCTGTGGTGTGGAAGGGAAACGTAGGACACACGCCATTCTCTAAGATATCTCTAAGATATCAATGTATCTCTAAGATAATTTCCAATTATCCACTGTGAAATCAGGTGGAACCATGGGAACGCCTTTAACAAATTCTCCAAAGCAACACAACTACAAAGAACAGCTCTTCGTGGGTCTTATGTTTATCTATAAAATGACTCAGTTAACAAATCATAATCAAACAAAAATGTTCAACCTTAGTGCCCAAACAGCACCTGTTTTCCAAATCCAAACATGTTGATCAAAAAATCAGAAAGTTTCTTAAGGTCACAAGTTGCAATGATTTTGACATTTTCATTTGAGAGCACTCAGGCCTGATTTAGGGGAAAGAAAATGTGATAGCATTTCTAGTGCCTCAAGTATATGTCTAGACATAAAATAAAAGTTTTTGAAGATTTTATTCATTTGACAGACAGAGAGAGCATAAGCAGAGGGAGTGGCAGGGAGAGGGAGAAAAGGGCTCCCCACTGAGCAGGGAGCCTGACCTGGGGCTCCATCCCAGGGTCCTGGGATCATGACCTGAGCCGGATGCAGACGCTCAACCCACTGAGCCACCCAGGTGCTCCATAAAATAAAAGATTTAAAGACAATTCTTTTGTGATGCTTTGTCTTCAAGAAAAATATAGAACACACAAACACAGCAATGTTTTATACACCTGGATGGCACTGATTTTCCCCAGAACATAGCAACTTTGGGAAAAAATCAACACTTTCGTAACAACTGCCGTTGCTTTTTATTCTAGTCTCTTAATCAGGCTAGTTTCTAGAATCCTGCTTCCAGAAGGTTCCTCCAGGTTCCCAGGGGGTTTTTGCATGTTTGTGCTGGGTGCTAGATCCTACTGTTCCTTGCAAAAATTTTGGGGAAAGCTATACCCCTTGATCTCTCTCGTCACCACCGGCCTTGCCAGTGACCCTTCCTACCATCATTCATAGCTACTGCTAGGTGCTGAAAGTTTTGCTCTCCTAATTTGTACCCCTTTGAGCCAACCTTAAATGGTCAAGCAATTTTTAGAATTACGGTCCCACTGAGCAATCTGACTTCCTTCATGACTATAGCAAGGTGGTCAAGGTCACTGCCCAGCTTCCCATGGTTGTTCCCCTCACCCCAAATTAAGACTGTCTGCAAATTCACCTTCTTGCTCTCTGAGCCTTGTTCTTTTCCATTCTAAGTCAGGCTTACATTTGTTTGCTGGACCATTAGTCATAAAGTCTCCATCATTATCTCTTGCAGGGCAGTCTCAAGAACCCGGAGTTCCTGGGGGAAGGTTTGCAGATGAAACTCCCCAGCATAGCCCTACTTGCTAGATTACCGCTTTTCAAAAGCTGTTAGTTCTCAGAATTAAAAGTTTTCGGCTGGGCAATCCTCATTGCACAAGTACACACTTAAAACAATTTGTAGTATCTTTTTGAACCTATTTCTCCTGAAATTTGGTTGAAATTGGCCTGAAAGATCAAATTAGATTATACACAGAGGCATGAAATTTTCATCTCTTCGTTCCATTGGAAGTCAAGTGAAACACAGAAGTAGTTATTACTGAATCACCCTGAAATTACAGCACTTAAGAATGTATTTTTAATAACTGAAAGTGTTTTTTTTTCTCTAAAATAAATACACTTGTTTGGGGGGACTACTTTTTAACCAATTCCATTACATTGTTCTTAGATTACTTTTTTACACCAACACTTTGTTTTTTTAACAGATAGAATGAGGAAGCTTTGTTTTGGTAATAAAACTACTAGAATTCAGACTAAGAGTCTAACTTTTAATTTTTTTTTTTTAAAGATTTTATTTATTTATTTGCCAGAGAGAGAGAGGGAGAGAGAGCGAGCACAGGCAGACAGAATGGCAGGCAGAGGCAGAGGGAGAAGCAGGCTCCCTGCCGAGCAAGGAGCCCGATGTGGGACTCGATCCCAGGACGCTGGGATCATGACCTGAGCCGAAGGCAGCTGCTTAACCAACTGAGCCACCCAGGCGTCCCAAGAGTCTAACTTTTAAATGGAGGCCAATGGAAGCTCCTAATTTTTAGCCCCCTAATCACACCATAGCAACTGAAGTTATAATTCCTCTCTTAATTCTTTAAATTTCAGTTTCCTCCCCTGAAATGCTGCTGAGAACAAGTCCATGACAAACTAAGGTGGTTGGGAGGTGTTTGCCTACCTAACTCTAACAGACACTGACAAAGGAATACAGCAAACATGAGTGTAAATGGGAAAAATGATAAGAAGTAAAAAGCTGACCTTCAACCTGGGTCACATGTATTCAATCCGTGTTTGTTTGTCACACTGAGTCAAAGGCCTCTATGAATGTCTCTATAGAGAGCATATGGACTTTCAGAAAAAGCCAGGGATTCACATACTTCAAGAAGCATAAAAGTACATTTCAAGTCAGTCCCTTCAATTATAAAAATGTTAGCTGAAGAAGAAATTTCCATAACTGAATTTTTAATTGAGTTTTAAAAAGTCCTTTCTACTTAAAAAAAAAAGTCACAATAAAACATTTATGGAACTATATAGACGTGTGCCCGACATTATCCGGACTTCTTGATTTTAATGTCTGAATCCAAATGTAGTATATATTTAACAATCCATTTGCTTTCCAACAAAGTAAAATTTAAAGGAAAAAATGCATTTTATCCTCCCATATATAAGAGGAATAAAACCGTATTTGGTTTTCGTATGTCAGAAGCGTAACTGCCTTTAGCTAAAACCCGATAAAGAACATAGATAACGCAGATTCCTCTAAATGAAAACCCATTTCAGCATATACGTATGTGCACACACACTGGATGAGTATATACAATCCATCAAGTCAAGTATATATACCCTATTTATAAAACAAAGGCTGAGGAAGTTAAATGCCTAGATTACACAATACCTTGCCAAAAGTTTTAATCCACAGAATCATCCTTTGAAAGTGGCCATTAGATGAAACAACCAAAACTTTTATCCAAGGTTTTAGCCCTTTTTGTTGACTTTCTTTTGTACACAATCCACTCACAAAAGACAAAGTGTGTATTTTCACATATGTAAACATGAGACTTTCAAGCCGTATTATACATAGTCCTTCGAAGCCAATCATTTCTTCAGCTCTTCCTGCACACCTGGGTTGATGGAGTCTTTATCATGGAGCTCCTCTGTTTCCCCCCTGAAAACAAACCCAGCAGGCACCGGGGGCTCCTGTCCAATGGATTTCACAGCATGAGCTGCATAGTTCAGGCTTGTATTTTCACTCCAATGCCAGTAACCTGAGAAGGGGTTGTAGAGCATTCCTGCCACAGTGTGAACTGACAGACCATCTGAAAAAAACAATCAGAAAGAGTAGATTTTGTTAAGTAATTACTTTCCAAATGCCAAGACTCTAATGTGACTCTATATTTAAAACAGGATTCCTGTCTCAGGGCACCTGGGTGGCTCAGTCATTAGGTGTCTGCCTTTGGCTCAGGTCATGGCCCCAGGGTTCTGGGATGGAGCCCCATATCGGGCTCCCTGCTCAGCGGGAAGCCTGCTTCTCCCTCTCCCAGCCCCCCTGCTTGTGTTCTCTCTCTCGCCATGCCTCTATCAAATAAATAAATAAAATTAAAAAAAAAAAAAAAAGATTCCTGACTTGATGGGAAAAAAATACTGTGTAACCAAGTACATATCATTCTTTACTATAGCCCAGAACAGAAACTCTAAATCAAATTGCTTGGGTTCAAATCCCAACCTGGCACCTATTAGATGGTGATCAGAGTCAAGTCACTTAGCCTGTCTGAATCTCAATGTTCTCACACGTACAGAACATACAGTCCTAGAGTTGTTAGAATTAGATGAGATATGCGTATAAAGTAGCACAATGCTTGGAATTTGGTAAGTACTTAGTAAACATAAGCTTTTATTAGGAAATATCTGCCCCCCCCAAAACATTTAAATCTGAAAAAAATAAATATTTAAATCTGAAAAAAATTTAAATCTGAAAAAAAAGAGAGACTATCTGCCAACAAGTTATCATTCCTATCAAGCATCTTACAGTACTTTCTCCTACTCTGTTTTCAGCAATATCACTTGCAGAAATCTTCAGAACCTCCTCCATTGCCTTGGATTGATACTATTTCAATATTCCAAATCAAGTTTACTGATATACTGTGATGTGAAAAAAAGCCTGAGACACACATGAGTTAAGTACTCAGCAGGAATACCAAACACCAACTACATGTTATGACCTGAAAGGAATTCACCACATAAATCAAGAGCTCACAACGTGTGAAGCAGAGGCAGGCACTGCAGGAAGTACAAAAAGGAGACAGTCTGGCCTCCACAGAGCTGACAGACCAGAAAGGGGCTTAAAAACACCAAAAGAACCGTAATACAAGATGTGCTCTAAGTAGCATAAAATACATAAAAAGTGACAAGGAAGTTCAAAGTGTACCTGAGTACGGAGGAATCAGGGAAAATAATACATAGCATAAGCTGATACACATAAGTGGGGATGTGTAAGTGACAGACATTTGCACCTCCTCCTTAAGCAAATGAGGACTAAGCAGCCAAACAGTATTCACTTATCATCTGTGATTTGCATGGCCCTGGGTTAGATGCCACAGGTGAGAGAGAGAAGTGGTATCTAACACCCATGCCTAACTTCAAGGAGTTTATAATCTAGCTGAGAGATGAAACCAACATCCAGAAAATAGTGGCCCATTTAATTAAGTGCCAGGTTGTGTGATTAATGATTGTAGATACATTAAATGTTCAGCAAGGCTGTGAAAACTGGAAACATTCTTAATACTTACTTGATTCCAGAATGCTCTCTAGCTTTTCGGGTGAAACAAACTTCTCCCATGTATGAGTACCTTTTGGTACAATACCTGCAATTTGCTCTGAAAAGACAATTCCCAAGGCATAAGACAGCTGTGTTTTGTTGATTGTAGTAACGAATAAAGAACCACCAGGCTAAAAAAAAAAACACACAGAAGTACCATTTTAGATGTCAGGAGTATCAGTTAGGTAAAGGCTTGGCTTCCCCCACCCTCCTCCTTCCTTCCAAATAATTTAAGTGCAATTAAGATACGTGAATAAAAATAAAGTATAATTTACCAAAATAGTTTTTGTTTTTTTTTTCTTTTGGGAAATTCATTACTAAAGGGAGTCTACTACAGGGGCGCCTGGGTGGCTCAGTGGGTTAAGACTCTGCTTTCAGCTCAGGTCATGATCTCAGGGTCCTGGGATCAAGCCCCACATCTCTGCTCTCTGGCTCTCTGCTCAGCGGGGAGCCTGCTTCCCCCTCTCTCTCTGCCTGCCTCTCTGCCTACTTGTGATCTCTCTGTGTCAAATAAATAAATAATCTTAAAAAAAAAAAAAGGCAGTCTACTACAGATGTACTCACTGGTTTTATGCAACAGTGCTTACAACTGTTAAACTCATACTACTGTGACATATTATAAACTTGCTTTTGCACATATCAGATACATATCAGATACTTTATAATAAAAATATAGAAATGGGATCGAGCTACTCCTCCTTGTTACATGTTCACATTTCCAATCTGACATGTGTTGACACTGTTTTCTCTCTGGGTGCGAGCCTGTCTAACTTGTTCTGTGCGGCATACAGCTCCACATCTTGTGCTAATCAGTGTTGTCTGACAAAAACGTTAATGGTTGTGGTTTGAATGTTTTTTTATTTTGTTTTGATTTCATTAGTATAAACAATATGAAGAGATCAAGATAAGCACTTACATGAATACAAACCATCTGTGAAACTATTTATTTATTTATTGAAAAAGATTTTTTTTATTTATTTGACAGAGAGCGAGCGAGCTACAGAGGGAACACAAGCAGGAGGAGTGGGAGTGGGAGAAGCAGGCTTCCTACTCAATCCCAGGACCTGAGACCATGACCTGAGCCGAAAGCAGATGCTTAACAACTAAGCCACCCAGGCACCCCTTGTGAGACTCTTTAGTCTGCCATGTCTTTTTTTAAGATTTATTTATTTATTTGAGAAAGAGTGCACATGTACGAACACTAGCACCAGTTGGGGGAAAGGTAAAGGGGAAGAGAGAGAGAGAATTTTCCAGCAGATTCCCCAAAGTTCGGAGCCAGTGGTGGAGCTTGATCTCATGACCCTGAGATCATGACCCGAGTGGAAACCAAGAGCTGGACAATGCAACAAACTGAGCCACCCCAGATGCTCCTAGTCTGACATTTTTTAGTGGCTACTAGCATTCATGGTGTTTCCTATATTTACTCCCACATATGGCAAAGATTAATGTCTCCTCCCTCTTCTACATATTCTCATCGGCCAGATGGGGATAAAATGCTTAAGAGTCCTTCTAATAATTGCACACGCACGTGTTTGTGTGTGTAGGGAGAGAGAAACTGTATCTCAAATACCACCCCAAAACCAAAAAGAAAGATGAGACCCTGAAATACTGCAATGTGCCATTAAATTAAAAACTGAAATATAAGGTATTATTTTGTGATATACTGTAACTTTTCTAAAACTCTAGTGTTCTAAAATATCTTATTAAGAATCAGTTACATGTCAATTATATCTCAATAGATCTTGGGGAAAAAAATCACTTATGGGTATCTCATCTATGTCCCACAAAATTTAAGGAAACAGTGGTGAGCAACAGTCATTTTCTTAATAGGCTTTCCATCAATGCAAAATAGTTTCAAATTCCACAATGCCACACACATTCCTAATATGTGTGAAAGAACCTAATATGTGTGAACCACAAATTCAAATTAGTTTCAAATTCCACAATGCCACACACATTCCTAATATGTGTGAAAGAACCTCCATTCATACATACTGACACACAACACAAAAAGTAAAAATTAAGGAGTTTTGTTTGGCAAATAGAAGATAAGCCTAATAAAACTCATTTAAAAGGAAACACCAAGGGGCACCTGGGTGGCTCAGTGGATTAAGCCACTGCCTTTGGCTCAGGTCATGATCTCAGGGTCCTGGGATCAAGCCCCTCGTCCGGCTCTCTGCTCAGCGGGGAGCCTGCTTCCCCCTCTTTCTCTGCCTGCCTCTCTGCCTACTTGTGATCTCTCTCTCTGTCAAATAAATAAATAAAATCTTAAAAAAAAAAAAAAAAAAAAAGGAAACACCAAGACACTGTTATAGACTTAAGGAGACTAAGGAGACATGACAACTAAATCCAATGTAGAATCCAGGGTTGGATCCTGAACAGAAAAATGACATTAGTGGAAATACTGATGAAATTTAATCAGGTCTGTAGCTTAGTTAATAGCATAATGTCAATGTTAATTTCTCAGTTTTAAGAAATGCACAATGGGTTACGTACAGGGCTAGGACTATGAGGAGACAAGTGAGATGCCTAAGGAACAAAAATGAGGAAAGTGCTCACTTTCCGGACTGTGTAAATGCATGGTTGGCACCTAAGCCTGAGTGTCTCCTTCAGGTTTGTGCCGTACATGCCTCATTTGCCTCACCCTAGTTCCTATCTTACTACATGAAATGTTAACAATAGGAGAAACTGGGGGAAGGACAGGTGGGAACATTCTGTACTATCTTTGTCATCTTCTCTAAAACTAAACTTATGTAAAAAGAAAAAGTATTTTTTTTTCTTTTTTTTTTTTAAGATTCCATTTATTTATTTGACAGAAAGAGAGATCACAAGTAGCCAGAGAAGCAGGCAAAGGGGGAGGGGGAAGCAGGCTTCCCACTGAGCAGAGAGCCCAATGCGGGGCTCGATCCCAGGACCCTGAGATCATGACCTGAGCCGAAGGCAGAGGCTTAACCCACTGAGCCACCCAGGAGCCCCAGAAAAAGTATTTCTAAAAAGCTCTATTTAGGTTAGGGCTAAACATTTCATTCTTCTAGCTCTTGACCTTAGGGTGTTACCTCTACATTAACAACACAGTCAATACAGTAATAACAATAACAACAACAAAAATACTTTAGGAGATTTATTAAAAAAAAAAATTGGAACCACTTTCAGAGGACTAAGTCTATAATATAATGGGAAGAACGAGACTTGAAATAAAAAAGATGTGACCCTAAGCCCCACTTAAGTGCCTAGTGAACTTTGACATAAAGACCCAGTGACCTCTGGATTCTTACGGAAGACGGTAGAGTTGGAGCTCACATCCTCCCATGGACACACCAAGGCAACAACTACATATAATTGTTGGCTGAATGAAGACTGGCAGAAAAGCTCTTCCACAGCTGAAGACATAAAGAAAAAGCCACATGGAGAAAGGTAGGAGGGGCAGAGATGCGGCAGGGAACCAAACTCCTGACACAGCAACCTATAATTGGGAGGGCTATCACAGGCACAGAAGTCTACCGGAGGAGCCAGGGGCTCAAGCCCCACCTTGGGCCCCCCTGGTCCCAGGGACCTACACTGGGAAGATGAGCCCTCATACTGCCTGGCTTTGAAATTCAGAGGGGTTTAACTTTTCAGAGAGCCAGAAGGCTACTGGATACCAAGACTCTGCTCTTAAAGGGCAAGCATAATACCTCATTCAGGCTGACACCCAGCACAGAGAAAGCAGTTTAAAAAGTGCCAGGGTTTTACATGGAGATTTACTGACTAACTTTAGGGCATGTGTTGGAAAGTCAGGAATCTGTAGGAGATTTCTTCGGCCATGGAAATACTGAAAGACGTCACTTTCCTTGTCCTTCTTCAGCCTAGTTGGTCAGATTTGTGGGAACTAGTTCTGACATTCTCCATCTATCTTGCTAACACCACTCACCCTGTCCTGGCATTCCCCTGTAGATCTACCTGCCCTGGAAATTGCCCGTCTAAAGCAACTCCTGCCACACCCAGCAGGCAGCCTTGGTCAGGATCAGCATTGCCCCAAAGCAACTACTGCCCACCACACCTAGTGGCAGCCCCAGCCAGGACTCGGGCCTCTCCAAAGCAACTCCTTCCTTGGAGAGAGGATGGGCAGCCCCACACACCAGCACGTGGGCAGCAGCTGCAGCTGAGCCACTCTGACAGCATGGCTGGGAACCAGCTCCGTACACCGGTACACCTGCAGAAGTCACAGCGGGGCTGAAGGTCAGCCCTGCCTACCAGCGTGTGCCCAGTCACAACAGGAGGACACACACAGCCCATACAGCAGAATGTCTGGTTCTGGTGACTGGGAAGATGGCACCCTAGGGCCCCACATGATGCCTCCAAGGCCACTACTTTCAAGACCAAGATACGTAGCTGACATACATGGAAACAAACACGGAAAATGGGGAGATAGAGGAATATGTTCCAAATGAAAGAACAAGCTAAAATTTTAGCAAAAAAAAAAAAAAAAAACAAAAAAACAAAAAAATAAACAAAATGGAAATAAGCAATCTACCTGCTAAGGAGCTCAAAGTAATGGTAATAAAGATGCTCACCAGATTTGAGAAGAGTGGATGAACTCAGTTGAGAGTTCAAATCAAGAAAGAGACAGAACACATAAAAAAGAACAAATAGGACATGAAGAATACAATAACTGAAATGAAAAAACACACGAGGGAATCAACTGCAGATTAGAAGATGCAGAAGAATACGTCAGCAATCGGGAATACAGGATACTAGAAAGCACCTAAGTTGACGAGAGGAGAGGGGAGGGGAGACTCTAACACCTATTCCACTTACATTATTGGTTAAGTCATCCAGACAGAAAATCAATAAGGAAATAGTTGCTTTGATTGACATATTAGGCCAGACAGACTTAACAGGGAGATACAGAACATTTACATAAAAACAGCAGAATACACATTCAAGTACTCAAGGAACATTCTTCAGGATGAATCTTGTTAGGCCACAAAACAAGAATCAATAATTTATTTTAAGATTCTATTTATTTATTTGAGAGAGATCATAAATGCGCAAGCCGGGGCTGGGGGGAGGGGCAGGAGGAGAGGGAGAAGCAGACTTCCTCCTGAGCAGAGAGCCCCACAAGTGGCTTGACCCCAGGACCCCTGAGATCATTACTTTAGCCAAAGGCAGATGCTTAACAGATGAAGCCACCCAAGTGCCCCAGATTCCATACATTTCAGAATACTGAAATCATATCAAACATCTTTTCTGACCATAACAGAATGAAACTAAAAATCAATTACAAGAAAAAAAACTGGAAAAAATGTGGAGTCTAAATAACATGCAACTAAACAACCAATGGGTCAACAAAGAAATCAGCAAATTAAAAGATACCTGGAGACATATGAAAATGGAAACACAATGGTTCAAAATCTTTGGCACGCGGTAAAAGCAGTTCTAAGACGGAAGTTTATGACAATGGCTTACCTCAAAGAAGCAAGAAAAATTTCAAACAAGACAACCTAATCATACACCTAAAGGAAACAGGAAAAGAATAAAGAAAGCCTAAAATCAGTAGAAGGAGGAAAATAATAAAGATCAGACCAGAAATAAATTAGAGACTAAGAAACAAGAGAAAAAAAATCAATGAAACTACAGGTAGTTCTTTGAAAAGACAAACTAAATTGATAAACCTTTACCCAGACTCACCAAGAAAAAAGAGGTTCCAGATAAATGAAGGAGGGAAAGTTATAACCGGCAACACAGAAATAGAAAGGACTATAAGAGACCACTATGAAAATTTAAATGCCAACAAACTGGACAACCCCATAGAAATGGATCAATACTAGAAGTGCACAATATTCTAAGACTGAATCAGGAAGAAATAGAAAATCTGAACATTATCAATTATTGGTAACAATTGAATTGGTAATCAAAAAACCCCCAATAGAGGTGTCTGGGTGCTCAGTGGGTTAAGCCTCTGCCTTCGGCTCAGGTCATGATCTCAGGGTCCTGGGATCAAGCCCCACACTGGGCTCTCTGCTCAGTGGGGAGCCTGCTTCCCTCTCTCTCTCTGCCTGCCTCTGCCTACTTGTGATCTCTCTGTGTCAAATAAATAAATAAATAAATAATCTAAAAAAAAAAAAAAAAAGGTCCAGGATCAGATGGCTTTACAGGTGAATTCTACCAAATATTTAAAAAGTTAAAACCTATCTTTTTCAAATTATCCCAAAAGTAGAAGAGGAATAAATGCTTCCAAATTCCTTGAAAAGGGGCAGCATTACCCTGATACCAAAACCAGAAAAAACACTGCTAGAAAATAAACCAATATCTCAATAACTAAATTCAAGAATACTTTAAAAGGACCATTCATTAGGATCAAGTGGCCTTTATTTCAGGGATGCAAGAATAGTTCAGTATCTGCAAATGAACAAACATGATACAAGACATTAATGAAATGAAGGACAAAAATCATATGACCATCTCAATAGATCCAGGAAAAGTATTTGACCAAATTCAACATCTGTTCATGGTAAAAACTCTCAACAAAGTGGGTAAAGAGGGAATACCTCAACGGAATAAAGGCCATAGATGAAAAACCCACAGCTAACATCATACTCAATGGTGGAAAGCTATAAGCTTTTCCTCTAAGATCAGGAACGAAATAAATTCAGTAAAGGTACAGGATACAAAATTAATACCCAGAAATGTTGCATTTCTATACACTAATAATGAGCTAGCAGAAAGAGAAATTAAGAAAATAACTCCCATTTACAAATCTTATAAACAAGAAGAATTAAATACCTAGGATTAAAGTTAACCAAGGAGGTAAAAGACCTAAATTCTGAATACTATAAGACACTGACGAAAGAAATTGAAGATGACACAAATTAAATGGAAAGATATACCATACTTAATGGATGGGAAGAATACTGTTAAAATGTCTACACTACAGAGTCAATGCAATCTCTAACACATTGCAATAGTATTTGTTACAAAACTAGAAGAAATAATTCTAAAATTTGTATGGAACCCCAAAAGACCCCAAATCTTGAGAAAGAATTAATATGGAAGTATCACATCCAAATTCAAGATTTTGTAGTTTGTACTACAAACTACAGTAATTAAAACAGTGTGGTACAAGTACAAAAACAGATCAATAGAACAGAATGGAAAGCCCAAAAATAAACCCACACTTATATGGTCAATTAATCTACAATAAAGGAGGTAAGATATACAATGGAAAATGGTGTAGGGAAAATTAGACGGCTACATGTAAAAGAATGAAACTGGACCACTTTCTTACACTATATATAAAAATAAAATCAAAATGGATTAAAGACCTAAATCTAAGACCTGAAACCATAAATATCCTAAAAGAAAACATAGGCAGCAATCCCTTGGGCACCAGCCTTAGCAATATTTCTCTGGATCTGTTTCCTCAGACAAGAGAAATGAAAGCAACAATAAACAACTATGATTACATCAAACCAAAAACCTTTTGCACAGCGAGGGAAACCATCAACAAAACAAAAAGGCAACATACTAAATGAAAAACAATATTTGCAAATGATATAATTGATAAGAAGTTAATCTGCAAAATATATAAAGAACTCCTACAACACCACCAAAAAAAAAAAAAAAAAAAACTGATTAAAAAATGGCCAGAGGACCTGAAGAGACATTTTCCAAAGAAGACATACAGATGACCACCCGACCCATGAGAAAATGCTTAACATCACTAATCATCAGAGAAATACAAATCAAAACCAAAATGAGATTTCACCTCACACCTGTCAGAATGGCTAGTATCAAAAAGACAAGAGATAAAAGTGAGGATGTGGAGGAAAAGGAATCTGTGTGCACTCTTGGTGAGAATGTTAATTGGTACAGCCACTATAAAAACAATATGGAGGTTCCTCAAAAAATTAAAATAGAAATACCACAGAATCCAGCAATTCCACTTTTGGGTATTTACCTGAAGAAAATAAACATTAATCTGAAAAGATATGTACCTCATGGGGGGCTGTAAAAAAAAAAATATATATATATATATATATACATATATATATATACATATATATATATATATATATATATACCTCTATGTTTACTGCAGCATTATCTACAATAGCCAAGACATGGAAGCAACCTAGGTGTCCATCAGTACATGAATAAAGATATGGTATATATAGACAATGGAATATTAGCTATAAAAAAAAGAATGAGATCTTAACATTTGCAACAACATGGATGGACATAGAGGGTATTATGCTAAGTGAAAGAAGTCAGACAGAAAAAGACAAGTATCATATGACTGTACTTCCATGTGAAATAAAAAAAAAATCAACAAACAAAAACTAGAAACACTCATAAATACAGAAAACAAACTGGGGTTGCCAGAAGAGAGGGGGGGTAAGAGATAGGTAAAATAGGTAAAAAGGATTAAAAGGTATAAATTTCCAGTTTTAGAACAAGTCATGAAGATGAAAAATACAGCACAGAGAATGTAGTCAGTAATATTGTAATAACTTTTTATAGTGACAGATGGTTAAGTACACTTATTGTGGTAAGCATTTCATAATTCTATAATTGTCAAATCACTGCTGTACGTCTGAAACTCATACAATATTGTATGTCAACTATACCTCAATTTAAAAAAAAAAACAAAAAAGGGGTGCCTGCATGGCGCAGTCAGTTAAGAGTCTGACTCTTGGTTTTAGCTCAGGTCATGATCTCAGTGTTGTGAGATCGAGACCCATGTGGGGCTCCCGGCTCAGTGAGGAATCTGCTTAAGACTTTCTCTCCCTCTCCCTCTACACTCAACCTCTAATAATAAATGTCTAAGTCTTATTTTTTTTTAAAGATTTTATTTATTTATTTGACAGAGATGATCACAAGTAGGCAGAGAGGCAGGCAGAGAGGGGGAAGCAGGCTCCCTGCCAAGCAGAGAGCCCGATATAGGGCTCGATCCTAGGACCCGGAGATTATGACCTGAGCCGAAGGCAGAGGCTTAACCCACTGAGCCACCCAGGCATCCCATAAAATAAATACATAAATCTTAAAAAAAAAAAAAAAAAAAAAAAAAAGGCCAAGTGACCTTTGACATCTCTCAAGTTCTGATCTCCTTTGGGCCAAGTTGGTCACAACAGTACCTGCTTACCTTCCTCATCTGGTTGTAGGGAAAATCAGTAAGATCATATATATGAAATATTTCTCTATAAGCTGAAAACTGTTAAAAATATTACATACAGAGTTATTTAAGAAATGCTACCTAAGTCAATTTATACAATTAATAAAGATTTTAATTGTTTTTTTAAGTATGAATCCAAATCAATTTCTTTCTTTTTTTTTTAAGATTTTTTATTTATTTATTTGACAGACAGAGATCACAAGTAGGCAGAGAGGCAGGCAGAGAGGGAGGAGGAAGCAGGCTCTCAGCAGAGCAGAGCGCCCAATGCGGGGCTCCATCCCAGGACCCTGGGATCATGACCTGAGCTGAAGGCAGAGGCTTTAACCCACTGAGCCACCCAGGCACCCCCCAAATCAATTTCTTAGTAATTGTCATTTGATATTTATTAGCTATTTAATCCAGAGTCCACCAATGGGAAAAAAAACCCTTTAAATCTATTGTTTATAATTATGTTCAGGACCAACACTTTTCAAGATTCTTGGATATCAAGATACTGTATCAAGAAAACCCCAGGACTGAGTGCAAACTGAGAAGCAGAAATAATCCCCAGCAGAGATGTTATCCCCTAATCCTAGTTTACTGATTGCAAGTATTATGAAACACTTATTTCTGTGGATACATAATACACTCAGAAGAAACAAACAAACAAGTAAACCAGTAAGTCTTACTTTTAACACTTGATAGCAGCACTGTATAAATGTTTCTAGATCAATCACATGTTCTATAACTTCAGAAGCTACAACAGCATCAAATGTTTCTGCAGTCTCTTCCACAATCTCTTCCAGGGAACATGCTCTGTACTCTATCCTCTTTTCTAGCACTGGATCAAATGATTTATGGTGCTGTGCTGTCTTAATGTTCTCATCCACAGGATCGATTCCAGTAACCAAAGCTCCAAGCCGCCCTAGAGGCTAATAGGATAAAAAAATTGTTATCCTCAAGAAGAAAACAGAATACATGTTAGCAATAAAGAGCTTATTAAAAAGGAAACAAGATTAATAATGAGAGGATAATTATTGGATACTTATTGGGTACATCGAAGTTCATTATATCATTTCCTCTAGTTTGTACACATTTTACAATTACCATAATAAAAACTTAGGAGTGAACAATAGTCACAACAAAAAACTTATGAAGAACTATTTGAGAGAGTTCTGTATTTTATAGGTACACTTACACACACACAATAGAGTATTAACATCTCTGAAGTGCACGAAAGTTACCATGCAGTTACTGAAAGAAGACTATAAAACAGAGCTGCAGGGCATAAACATACTACAAGTGGAGGCAAATATTTTTTGCGGAAGGTGAATGAAGTATTTTTCTAAGTACTCTAAAGTACCTAGGCCAGGGAGAACACCACAAGCAGGCAGTACTCGGTTAGGTTTTCATACTGAAGTAAGTGCAAAAGAATGGCTTATCAGTGCATTTAAACCAGTGGAAACTGCCCAATCTCTTAGAAGAGATAACAAAATTTTCCGAGCTATTTCAAAAACCAGTGCCCAATTTTGTGCAAAAATAAACAAAAAACAAAAAAACACCAAAAAAATCCTCTATAATTTTCTAAAATATTTATATATTTTCTTAAGAAAGTAAAAATCATTTATTAGTTTTATGCTGGTAAAAATAACAAGAAGAACATTAGGCATTTCTTTTTTTTTTAAATAAACAATATTACTTGTTAAAAGGATAAATGAGCTGTAGGCCTACTTTTTCAAAATTTTTTTCACAGTTAAAAAGGGCAGGAAAGTTGTAAACCACTTACTTCAGTTAACAATCCACCACCACAGCCAACATCAAGAATCTTCATCTCAGACAGAGGTTTTCCTGGCTGGTGATGAGCAACTGTTTTTAAAAGATTGTCTCTTTTTTAAAAATCCAAAACATACAAAAACAAATTATTAATTTTAATAATATATATAATATTTTTATTTATTTATTATTTTAATATTTTAGTTATATAAACATTTTAATAATATATAATAAATATTAATAAAATCTTAAACGTGTATAATTTTTGAGGATATATTAAACTCTCATTTTATTTTATTTATTTATTTTTTTTTAAGATTTTATTTATTTATTTGACAGACAGAGATCACAAGTAGGCAGAGAGGCAGGCAGAGAGAGAGGGGGAAGCAGGCTCCCTGCAGAGCAGAGAGCTCGATGCGGAGCTTGATCCCAGGACCCTGGGAATCATGACCTGAGCCGAAGGCAGAGGCTTTCACCCACTGAGCCACCCAGGCGCCCCTAAACTCTCATTTTAAATGGATTATTGATATTTGGGGGTAAATACCTCTTTTCTTTTCAGCATTAAAGACTTTTTTAACAATCAAAAGCAGGAAGGAGGTTTTAAGTAAAGCTTCTAAAATAAACTAGTAATAATTATATGTTAACTATTACTTCAGTAATAATCTAAAGAAAAACTTTAAAAACAATCTAGTTTAGATTCACCTAATTTTATTTGCTTAAGATATCATGTTAGCTGAGGAATCTCTTAGCTACATTGTCAGTACTTGATAGCCACATTTCATGTCAGCAACAAATAAGTTATTTTACAGGGCTTAGAAGCAGCATACTGGAGATCTGTATTTTCAGATTTTGCCTAGATTCCCTTCTAAATTGATTCTCTTTTGATCTTCTAAGTTAGTGGTGTTTTCACGATCATGTCAATAGGCATCCAAATCAAGTTAACTTAATTCTAAGATAATCATAGTAACACTCTACCACATACACAAACATAAGCACACACATTTACACCCAGACATATATACCTAACAGCATTGTATACTACACTTTTAAGTTGAACTGTATATGAATTTTAATTATCTTTATATTAAAATAAATGTTATATGGGGGCACCTGGGTGGCTCAGTCAGTTAAGCATCTGCTTTGGCTCAGGTCATGATCCCAGGGTCCCAGAATTGAGCCCCGTGTCAGGGAGCCTGCTTCTTCCCCTCACACCCATGCTTGCTCTCTCTCTCAAATAAACAAAATCTTTAAAAAGCAACAAAAATAAAATAAACATTATATATAATAAGGACACCTAAGGATATATTTTGTTTGTTTAAGTAGGCTCCACGCCCAACGTGGGGCTTGAATTTATTACCCTGAGATTAAGACCTGCATGCTCTAGTTACTGAGCCAGCAGGTGCCTCTTTATCAAGACTGCCTAAAGGTCAAAGTGGGTATGAAATGACCTTGATGCCATAGGATCCTAGGTCCTTTTCATAAGAATTTAGTTCTAAGTAACCTGAAATTGTCCAAAAATGCTTCAAATCAGTTAATAAAAGCAGCCTAGATTTTGAATAACGTTATTTAAAAATTAATGGCTCAAACAATGGACATTGAAAAGTTTCTAATTTTCTTTTCTTTTTTTTTTTTTAATTTTAAGGAGGCTTCACATTCAATGTGGGGCTTGAACTCATGATGCTGAGATTAAGAGTCACATGCTCTACTGACTGAGCCAGCCAGCTGCCCCAGAATCTCTCTAATTTCTAAAGCAAACTTAAAATGCAGCATTTTGAACTTAGGTATAAATCAAGAGAAAAATAAACTCAAAAGAAGATAAATTATTGAAGAGTTACATTTTAAAATATTTAGAGTTTCTGGAATGTTACCTAATAAATGGCACCCTCAGGTCATTCATAGAATGAAGAGGTGCATACACTCCTTGTTCATCCCACCACCTATGAGCCAGGGCCACGAATGTTTTTATCTCACTGCTGTCTACAGTGGTTTGAGAAGTACTGTACACTCTTGTCCAAGGGTACCTAAGGAATCAAAAGGAAGAGCCAGGCAAAAAGAGACATTTTAAAAAATGTAACATAGAATCTATTTATGTAGAAAGATATTCTAATTTACAATTTATTAGATTCTAAATGAATGGCTCATTTTCAATGCTTTAAAACCAGGTTTTCATAATCACACTGCAAATATATATATTCACAGATGGAACAGAGTTCCATTAACAAAGTTAATTTGCTTTCAAAGTAAATTGCAACAGAAATGGGATGTTACAAGACTTGGCCTTCTGGGTCACATCTAATAGGAATGAAGATAATAACATAATAATAGGAACAGTAGTAGTAGAAGTAGAAATAGTAATAGTAACCACTTATTGTGCACTTACTAAATGTGGGTACTATTTAAGAACTCTGTATATGTCATGTGTCATCTTATTTCATTGTTCTGGCAACTCTATAAAGTAGGTTATATAGCAATCCCTATTACACAAGTAACAAAAGTGAGACTTAGATTAAGTAAATGGTAGAACCAGGATTTGAACCCAAGTGCCCCCATCTTCTCTTCATTTCTACTACTATCATCCTAGTCTAAGCTACAATCATCTCTTGGTTAAACTGTTTATTGCACTAGCCTTCTAATTAGTCTGCCTGCTTCCTACCACATCTCCCTTCAATCTTTTCCCTACAATGTATCCACAGTGTCCCCAAATAAAAATATGATCATGCTATTTTCCCACTTGAAATCCTTCCATGGTTTCCCACTGATATTAGGGAAAAAACTCAAAATCCTTAGCATAGCCTACAATGCTCTGAATTATTTGGTCCCCAATTTCTTCCCTCCTCAAATGCACCTTTTAACTACTCTCCTCATCCTCCCCATTCCAGTCCCACAGGCCTTCTTTCGTTTCTTTGCACTGATCCCACATGCCCTTTTCTCAGGAACTTTGTACAGGTTGTTTTTCTACCTGGACCATTCTTCTCACATTCCCTTCCCTCCTCTGCACACCTAATTCAATGCCATCTAAGAAGTCTTCCCTGACTCTCAAAACTGGGTTATAGTCCCTTATTTTAATTCCCACATAACCTTGCATTTCTTCATGGAACAATGTGACAATTTGATCATGTCTCCCCACTAAACACTATGAGGGCAGAGTATGGACTGTGTTATTTACCATTTTATTCCTAGTGACTAGCACAGTTCCTAGAACACAGTTGGTACTCGGGAAACGTGTCAAATGGATAATCTAATAAAGAAGGCCCTGGGTGTCTGGGTGGCTCAGTGGGTTAAGTCTCTGCCTTCAGCTCAGGTCATGATCTCAGGGTCCTGGGATCGAGGCCCACGTCCGGCTCTCTGCTCAGCAGGGAGCCTGCTTCTCCCCCCAACTCTGTCTGCCTCTCTGCCTACTTGTGACCTCTCTCTCTCTGTCAAATAAATAAATAAATAAATCTTTAAAAAAAAAGGCACAGAAAAGTATATAATTCACCTAATTAAAAAAAAAAATCAAATGGGATCAAACAGGGACCAAATAGATCAGACATTATACCAAATTCCATGTCAAAGTATATCATAGGAAAATCCTCCAGAATTTCTTAGGTAAAAAAAAACATAAGGTTGTTACATAGGATAGGTAATACCATTCAAATTTTTAGTGTGTTTTTCTTAGCTACATAGAGTACATTCTACATTGATGACTTATTATCCTTTTAAGAGTTAAATATCATGCTTCTTTAATATTATCTTATGAATATTACCATCTTTTTCTGTGCTTCATGCAAAGCCTCAATAATCAATGACTAATATACAATAGGTAACAGTAGGTGGGTGCTCAGCTGACTACCAGTGATTTCACATACACCCAATTTTACAGGAGCTATCTTATTTACAAGAAGTAGAGCAAGCACTTAGAAAACAAAGTTCATACCTTAACTCTATGCAATATTTTTCACAAGTTAGAAATTAGTTTATAAAATACAACTACAGAAAGATATTACTTTGATTCAATCTTACCGCCTAGAATTGTATAATTACCTTATCACATTTATGCTGTACCCAAATCAGTTACGATTTTAAGCACTGCATTATTTGTGTCTTGTCACAAGTGTGGAAGCAAAAAGGATTTCTCCAGGTAATACAGTCTTACATTAAAAATAAAAGCTACTTTTGAATATAGATAAAGGGTATGCAAGAGATGTATACTGTATTACAACTTTTCTGTAGGTTTGAAACTTTCCAGATATAAAAGTTGTTGGAAGAGTAAGAATATTTAGATAAATAAAAAGATACCTTAATCAAAGCACGTAAGCTATTTCATACTAGCAGCGTTTATTAAACATAATGAATACTAGATTATGATTATATATAATTATGTAAATACTTGCCACAGTACTGAATAAAACTTACCTGTAAATTTTCATTCTATTCAAGCAGGCAAAAGTTATTCTATAGGATTTGAACCACATGATGCTGTAGTCACTGAAAACCCACGGGTTAGTTTGTGGAGTCCAACTGAACTGATTCTCTGAATAAATTGAAAACAACATTATTAAGTAATCTCTGTGCCCAACGGGGGGTTCAACCCCAAGATCAAAAGTCACATGCTCTAACCAACTGAGTCAGCCAGGTTCCTCTGAAAATAAAAATTAAATGCCTAGAGAAAACTGCCCAGTATAAATCCCTAATACGTATATACTTGAAGAAACTATTTTACATGGCAATCTCATATTACAATTGATAAACAAAAGGGTTTTCCCCTTACTTTTGGATTTATACTAAAATATAAAATAAATATCTTGCGTTCTGCCAATTAACTCTAATCAAATATCTGAAATTTTAATTGGCAAAAATAAGTAATGTATATGTAAAAGTTTTTCATACCATTAGTTTCTGTACCAATATTATTCTGCATAATTATAAGAAATGAGATTTAAAATAAAACTATGTGAACTTTTAACCTAGGATGATATTAATTCTGAGATTATTTGTCAAAACAAGTTCAAATTCTGTCACATGTTAGCTACTTGAAATGGATTTATACATAGACTTAAAACCCTTTCCAAAAGAAAAACCTGTATGTACGTGTGTATGTATACATATTATCCTAAAATAATCATTCATCCAGTCTACATGTTCAAACTTACATAGAAACCTGTTTTATGAACTAGTTACTCTGCAGCAGAACATTCAATTGTTCAATAAATACTTAGACAAAGTAGACCTTAGAGCAAAGAAAATACTACGGACATTATAAAGCTCACCCAATGGATTTTTTGACTCTGGTTGAAAAGCAGTCCAATGAAGGAAAAAATAGTCTTCTCAATAATGGTATTGAAACAATTGGATACCAATACACCAGAAAAGAAAACTTAAACCTAAATCTCACATCTTATACAAAAATGAACTTAAAATAGATCATTGATCTAAATGCAAAACCATAATACTTTTAGTATATGTGCTGCCAAAGCGAGCACAAAACCATAATACTTTTAGAAGAAACTATCACAGATCTTCATGACTTAGGGTTCAGCACAGAGTTCTTCTTACATCTGACACCAAAAGCACAATCCAAAATAGAAGATATTGATTAAGTTGGACTTAGACTTGAAACCTTTCATCCTGCAAAAGACTCTGTTAAGAAGAAGAAAAGACAAATCACAGATGGGGAGGAAATATTTGCAAAACACATAACCCACAAAGAACTTATATATCTGGACTATATGAGGATATTCTTTAAACTCAACAGTAAAACCCAACTCCCATAAAACAACAACAAACCAAGCAACCCAATTATACAATGGGTCTGGTTCTTATAAAATGGGTATAGAAAGACATGAACAGACAATTCATCAAAGAGGATATACAGATGCAAATAAGCACATGAAGAGATATAAAATATCAATAACCATTAGGAGAATACAAATGAAAGCCACTACATACCTATCAAGTTGGCAAAAATTTAACCATCCTGGTATCCTGAATTCCATAGGTGATTTCATATATTTTAGAGAGTACTTGTAGGTGAAATCCCAAGAATGACTGTGTTAAATGGCATGTGAATTTATAAATTTGTAACTGCCACTCACAGATGTTGAACCAGTTCCCAACACCAAGGGTAAAACCAGTTTCTAGTGCTGGCTTCCCCACACCAATAATACACTGACAGTCAATCATGCAGTGTATTATCAATTTTTTTTTTATTTTTTGATAATCCAATAGGTGAACATGGGATCTCAGTGTTTTCTGAGTTTATCATAAGTGTGGTTAAGTGTCCTTTCTTAACTTAATGGTGCTATGGTCTGAATGTTTGTGTCCTCCCCAAATTTATTCTTTGAAGTCCTAACCCCTAAAGTGATGATATTAGAAGGTGGGGCCTTTGGGAGGTGATGAGATCATGAGAGTAGAGCCCTCACGACTGGTTTAGCGACTTTATAAAAGACCCCAGAGAGCAAGTTTGCCTCTTCTATCATGTGAGGACACAGCAAGAAGGCTCCATCTATGGACCAGGAAATGGGCTTTTACCAGCACTGAATCTTGGATTTCCCAGTCTCCAGAACTGTAAGAAATAGACTTGTTGTTTATAAACTACCCAGTCTGTGGTATGTTGCTACAGCAGTCAAATGGACTAAGACAAATGGTCATTTATATTTCGTGGCTTGTCTTTTCATAGTCTCTGAATATTTTTCTCTTGAGCTTTTTATGTTTTTTAAATTTTGTTTTGTTTTTCAGTAGGATCTTCACAGTCTGGCCCAAGGCCATTTCAACATTCTCACACACACACACACACACACACACACACAAATTTGTGTTCCTAGGCCTTTGCTCATGTTACTCTCTCTTCCACCATTTCCACCTATACTACATTTAAGACCTAGTTCAAATACCACCTTCTTTATGACTTCAGGTAGATAAAGGAAGTGTTATTGGAGAATTATGTAAACTGTGATACGTAGATAAAAAATCTAAGTTATTATTATGAAACTGCACATCAGAGATTTTAAAACAGTCTCTGCTCTGTACTCAGTAATGACCCTTATCATCCCTACTCCTCCTCTACTTCTGTAAAATTAGCCCCCCAGTTATCAGTATTGACAGAATTCTCAAGAGCTTTAAAAACCACCATACCACAACTGAGAGAAACTAATTGAGTTTGTATTAATAAATAGAATCCTACCGACTCCTTCTCTACTTTGAATGTGTGATCATTTTGGTATTTGAGATTTTAAAGACATAGAGGAAAACTTCATTTAATGCATTCAAAACTTCATTTATCCAGAGCCTATGATGTACTATGCCAACAGTGAACGAAACCTCTACTCTACCAATACCTTGGTTCCAGCAATCATAATTTACTGTCGAGATTACTCTTAAGGCCTCCCTGGGCCTAGTCTTTCCTGCCACCATTCCACTTTCCACACAGCTGCCAAGTGTTCTTTCTTAAATACAGGTCAGATTATATTGCTCCTTCAGTAATTTCCCTCTGTCCTCAAGGTAAAGTCACTCTCAGGAGTATAGGTAGCCTTTCACAGACTTGTCATGGCCTAAAAAGTCTGTCTCATCCCTTGCCAGTCTCTGTCCTCACTTCCAGCCTTCCTTTTCAAGGAACACTTTGCACTTTCCCAGAAATCTCACAGATACTCAAGTTAGTCCTTTGGCCACTCCAATGACTTCCAAAACTGCCCAACTCCCTCAAGACAGCTTCCTAAATACTTTGTTCAAAAACTTTCCCTGATCTTAAATATGTATTAGATACTCCTTCTATACTCAGTCCCAAAATCTGAAAATATTTATATTTTTCTAAATTTCTGATTATAAGACATGTTTGCTGAAAAATAAATTCCAAAAATATATAATGATAAAACGATGGATAACCACCTCCGCCACATATAATCACTGCTAAAATTTCTATGTATTTCTGTTCTCTCATATAGCTCCATATATAGATCTAAATTCATAATACATACTGATTTGTAACTTACTTTCTTAATGCTGTATCTGAATCATTTTTCCATGGGGGCACACACTGATTTAAATCATTTTTATTGGCTGCACTATTTTTCATTGCATTAGAGCACCAACTTATCAACTTTGTGGTGGACCTCTAAGTTTCCCGTTTCACCCATTATATCCTAATTTCAGTTCTAACATTTTTTAAAAGAGATCTCTGAGGTGTCCTTCATTAGAAAATTCCCAGTGCCTAGGTGGCCCAGTTGGGTGTCCAACTCTTGGTTTAGACTCAGGTCGTAATCTCCAGGTCTCCGGATCAAGCTCTGCCCAGCAACCCGCTCAGAGGGGAGTCGGCCTGAATTCTCTCTCCCTCCGCGCCCCCGCCCTTATAGGCTGGCTCTCATTCTCTAAAAATAAATAAATCTTAAAAACAAACAAACTCCCAGTTTCTGGCACACAGCATTTGTTAAATGAGTTTCATATAAAGGGTAAACTTAACTTTCTGGTTAATCAAATTGTCTTCTGCAAGTCTCAGGTTCAGTGAGTTATTTCCTTGATCTTATTTGCCAAGAGTTTGCTGAATTTAACCAAAACAAGTAGAATGGCTGCCTTAAATTCTTTCTGAAAAAAAGAAGATATGTGCAAACCAAACAAATGCAACGCTATCAAGAACTCTGAGACTGCAGCCGGAGTCCTCTCTCGCGGCGGCTAGGGAAGAAAGCTCGTGACCTTCCGATTCCTGCAGGCACAGAGTGGTAGCCGGCGGCAAGGACTCAACCAAAAAGGTCTCTGGATACACGGCGACGGCCGGGAGACTGCGCGCTCCGCAGCCGGGACCACTAGTCCCTAGTCCCAGTCTCCGGGAACGGGAGGCGAGAGCCCAGGCCCGGAGTTTAATCGACAGCGAGGGACCAGACCGAAGGTAGACTTGCGAGGACCCCGCGCGGAGCTCAGAACAGCCCGCCGCCCGCGCCTGCGCAAAACAGCGCCCCCGCCCCCGGTGGGTTGCGTGAGGGACCTTCACAATGCCAACATGGTTAAGCGACACTCACCTGCCGAACTGCTTAAGCGAGCACCCTCAGCCTGTGTACCCCAACACCTAGATCTAAGCCCTCCTACAAACCAATTCCCGCAGGAGCTCAGCTTGCGGCCTCCCCACATCGTGAAAGGATCCACCTCCTTTCCGGTCCCTCCAGCAAAAGATCCCCAACAGAAAGGTTCCGAGATCCACTCTCACACCGTCGGGAGCCAGTCTCCTCATGGCTGCATTAATGGCTGTTAACAGAGTGGGACTATACTCTTCACGCTCAACACCCGTCAAAGTGCGCATGCAACTATGTTTGTTATAAGAGCACTTCAAGTTTCTATTATGGCCTATTTCTGTATGACCACCTCAAACCTCACGGCCAACGTAGTCATGGATCCCCTCACTTCATACTATGTAAACGAGCTTTTATTCTCATGTAACTCTTATTTAACAGAAGTCTCCCACATTTATACTCCTGTATGCCACTGACCCTTAGAATCACAAATGCATGGAAGCACTTCTTTCCTAAAGGTAGAATTTTTTCCCCTTTCAAGGAACTCAAATGTCAGGGGGCTATAAGTCTAAACTGAAAATTCAGTTTCTCCAAGTGACCTGATAATATTCTGGGCAGGGCATACGTTATGTAGTAAGACTCTAGCCAGACAAACTTCACTGAAAACTAAAGCGGTATTAACTTTACTTCTAAATGTACAGAAGCCTTTCCTTGAATAAGAGCAATGATAACATTTTTAAGATTAAAGGCAAAAAATCATTGTACATTTTCAATAGGCACGGTCAAATTGGTAAAGGGTTCTTTGAATTAGTGAAATTTAATGCTCAGTAATAGTCTTTCACTTATGGCTTCTTAGTAAAATATTGACCTCCTCCTAAGAGTGGCTGCAGACTTTTTTAATGTGCTTTTCAGAGTTCCTCTCTCAGGACACATGGCATCTCTCCAAACAAAGGCACAAAGCTCTGGGACAGAAGGACATTTAGCATGTGTTGTATTTATTAGAATGACAAATCCAAGGAAAAAGCAGAGTGCAAGTATGATTAAATAAAGTTTTAAAAGCTTTATTTAAATGTACTTTCTTTGAACGTACCCCTTCACGGGGCTTCAGGGTCTTCCCATTGCCTTTTCAATTCAACAAAGGCAAACAGTGATTTGCCTTAATACTGACACAAAAGCCTCTTTAATAGCCACTAGTTTGGCCCAGATAAGCAAAACTAGCTCATTATACTCTACAAATATCAACAAAGGCTTTCCCAACGATGCTCAAACTCCAAGTTGTGTTGGTACGACTGGCAGTTGTAATGTGGTATATGGCCATTGTTGGGAGTATTTCCTAGAACACTGGCATGGTCTCACCCATGTGTGGTAAATCAGTGTCTACAATTTATTCTACTGTAAAATAAAAATCTATTTAGTATTGTGAAATTCAAGTATAAAAACTTTTCTCAAATTAAGGGCAAAGTGCTCCCTTGTAGCTAACAGTTTTATCACTTTGAAATTATATACACGCACTCAGAGTTTAACTGGTAAATTTTCATACTTACAGAATTCCACATAAATGGGTAAAACTTATTCACCTTAACTTATACTCACATAATCAGATTGTGGCAGATTTAATCTTTTTGTGTACTTAGAGGAAAACTGTACGATACATGATAAACCTTTATGGAATATAATGTAGTTCATCACACGAGTTATTTTAAGGGCTAATAAAAAACCTATTTTCTTTAGTGTTAGGTATTACAGCCAAATTCTATTTAAAACTGAAAAACTTAAGGGCTAGAAATATTAAAGACCTTAGAAAGAATCAAATTCCACCCTTCCACAGTTGAAGAAATTGAGGCTCATAGTGTTTATGTGATTTGCCCAAAATATATTAAGCAGCAGAATCAGGACAATCCAGTGGACCTAATATTTCCATTAAACCATGATTAGTACATTTTAGAAACTTCGATAAATGAAAATAGACTTTAATGTATATAAGAAAAACTCCATTTAAATGTAAAGGTTTCCGTAAGACAGTATTACAGGAACTTGAACCTTATACAATTCCTCTGTAAGAATTCTCACAAAAATAAAAAACCTCAACTACTAATTAATTATACTTTATGTGTTTCCTTGAAGAAACAATAACTTAGACACTAAAAAAAATAGATGTTTGGGAAGTTCACCTATTGTGTATTATACCATTCGAAACAGATGCTAAAAAAAGACATTTTACAATGGCAGAAAACATATACACTGAGATTCCACACCAGTCTTTATTTATATTTTGGGGCCTTCATTAAACAAATCTTATAATTACCTCTTCCAAATTACATTTTATTCTCTTAATGGTGTGGTTTACCCCCACTGCACAAAAACAAGTATGATTAATACACTAGAAATATTTTAAAAGAGAACCCAAAGACAGTTTTATTAACCAATTCAGACCAATGATTGTCTCAAAAATTGAATCTACTGATTTTCTGGTGGTGTCATTTTAGAAGATTTCATAACCAAATTATGTATCTAGTTAACTTATGCATGTTAGCATTCACATCCCGAATCATGGAAGCCCTATTTTATAAATTCTTACCACTAAGGTAAACATACTTAATTACATGTCAGTGAAATGATGAATTCTCTAAATTATCCATAAAACCTAAAAAACCCAAATATCTAATTATAACACTGATGTATCTACTAATAATCACATATATCATGACTGTGTTTTAAAAAATATCTACAGATTTAAATGATAAGAAGCTTGCATATTATGGAAGAGTAAATAAAACTGTCAAATATTATTTTTGGCTCTTGTCATTTGTCTTGCCCAAAAATGTGCATATCATAGCCAACAGAACTTTTCTGTAGAATTTTATTTTGAAAATATTATTTTAACCTGAAGATTGATCTAAAAAACATTTTAAGATATGAAAATGTTATACAACTTATCTATTACAAATTAATCTGATAATTCTGCAATTAGGTACATTGTGTTAGCTCACCTACATAAAAAATATTGCACATTTTCATTTTGTCTCCACGTGACTGATGTCTAAACTATATAGAATTCCAAACTATTTAAAAGTTATTCTGTGAATATCAACTTTATAAATATCAGAGCTAAATGCACTGTAAAACAACCATTTTGGTAAACATGCATTTATTCACAGTTGATTTATTTCCTCTAGATAAACGCGTAACTGTTCAAAATTATTTAGGAACCTATGTAGAGGTACAAGAGCACACTTACAAATCTATTTCTACCTTCATTTTGAAGAAACACTGATCTTGGCAAAAATCTGGCTTATTTTAAAATGAACTATTGCTGGTAAGAAGGCATACTTTAAAACTTTTCCGTGACCTGCACCTGCTTTTTTCCTTTTTAAATTAAAATTTAAAAGCATTTGTTTTCAGAGATGTATCTGATTGTGGCATAAGACAATAATCACACAAAAACAGACCCTGAAAGCAGCTGGGCATTTAAATGCCTGCAGAGCCTCATTTTACTTGTAAGTTAGGACTGCCTTAAATAGCTAGACCACTCACTGATCATAATTGTTAAGAAAGTGACAAAACCAGACCAATTTCAATGTCATGAAATTGACACAAACCTGCATAATATAGCATTCCTCCACTGAGTTGAGGTCATATTATACTTTAAAAATATAAATAAAGATACTGAATTGTGAGTCTTACTTCTGTAATATCCCCAGTGTTTGAAATATGCTTCTAAAACAGAAGTGGATAATTGCAGAATATAATTCCAGATTTGACTACTAGTGTCAAACACAACTGTTCCTTATAAATGACTCTAATGGTGCACTGGCTTGATTGATTCCAGCAATTTCACTGTACAGAAGAAAACCATACTTTATACACAGAGAATATATTACTTGAAAATCCTCAAAATAGGAAAAAAAAGTTTAGGAAGCTGTCAAATGTTTCCAAATGAAAAGTAAAGGTCTATTTTTGGCCCTCTTCCACACCCTTAAAGTTGGAATTTGACAAAAATCCATGGGTACAATTTACAAACTTTGACAAACTATTAAGTTAAAACCATTTTCTTTGGGGAAGATGAGAGGAAGTACCTTTAAAACCTGTTATACAAAATTCCAGCTGCCTTTTTATAAAAGTACGTTCCTTAGATTAAAATCATAAAATTAAGGTGCAAGAGGTTAACAAAAATGAACTGAAGAGCTTTATTGACATCACAGTACATTCAAGAATAATTTTAAGAACATTACAGCTGAAAGAGAATGGCATGTTTATAGTCTTATTAAGCACTATTTTTTGAAAAAAATGTAATACAAAGAAATCCTATTAAGTAACTTGGAGCAGCATTTGGAAAAAGTACACCTATTTACAGATTAAAAAAAAAAAAGATTCTGGTTTCACCTACACAGCCACAATGTGCCTCTATAATGAGACAAGCCCTTAAAACTCATGGAATTTTTTAAACATCATGGCATTCTTGCCACATCATTCCTCAGCGTTTACGACGGGGAGGGGTTGTTGATCTGAAAAAAAAAGGGAAAAGACAAATTTAAAAATAAAAATGTATTTTAAACTAAAGAATCTGCAATTTTTAAATAAATATTATTATATAGGATTTCTAAAATTACTTAAGACTATGTTCATTTATCAAGTACCAAACTGAGTTGTTATTAAAGAGAGAGAGAGAAAGGACACTTTCAACTTTGAATAAATTCAGTCAAATTTTTTTTTTAAAAATCAGACAAAATACTTTAAAAAGTATACTACCTTGATCGGGACTTAGACTTGTGTTTGCGGCTTGCCTTCTTACCAGACCTTTGAGATTTCTCCATGGATCGCGATCGACTATGTTTAGGCTTCTTAGCCTTCTTTTCTTTGCTACTTCCTGGAGATTCAGAACTGCTCCTTCCACTAGAATCAGAGCCTGAATGTTTTTTGCTATCTTTGGTAGTACTTTTCTTACTATCCTGTCTAGAATCATGTCTGATAATTTTAACAGATATAGAACCACTCCTAGAGAATGTTCTTTCACTTTCTCGTTTCCTTTTTAGCCTATCATCCTGACTACTGAACTTAAAATCTTTTTCTTCTCTTTTTTGTTTCTCTTTTCTTTTATCCTG